TGTATACAGAAATAAATAAAAAAAAAATCTAAAGTAAAATTGTAATTGGTTTTTAATGCAATAAATAAATTTTTAAAAACAAAATTACCTACTATAAAAATAAAACTTTGATATTTTTTTTGTTGCGGGTAATTTCTTATAGCAGTAATTTTTTAAAGTAATATTTTTATAGTAGGTAGATAATAAACTTGATTGTGACAAACTTTTATTTTTGGATCTAAAGAAAAATAAAATATTTTGTATACATTTAATAATTAACTTATTCTACATAACATCTTTTTCTAAAAATTACCAATACATGGCTGTTATTTCTTAACTATTAAGTAAATACTTGAAAAATGAAAGCCGCCGGTTTTAAGATGTGAAAAAAAAAGCGAAGCATATGTGTTAAAATTAAAAGAAAAATTTTTTAATTGAAAAGGGACGGTGATTAAGATTGATATCTTAAATGTATAAATATTTAGTAAAAATTATTTATACTACATGCATCAGGATTAAAAAGGGATATTACTCGTGATATGCTCAAAGAATGATGAGGAGCTTTATTTAATTACTCATGATATGTTTTAAAAACAAAATTTATAAGTTCATCATTTATTAATGAACATTCACAGAAATATATAAAGATGAAATAAGCAGAAGTATGAATTAAGTATGTTAATTTAATTGCGTTTATGTTAGTTGAGTTTTCTTACATTATCTTTTCTGCATTTTAATCACATGACAGACAATGTAAAAATGGGCAAGAGTAGAACAGTATTACTTAACTGTAAGCTGAACTTACTTACTACTTAACTGAAGTACTACTGAACGTAAGCTTACTTAACTGAAGATGTAGCGAATAAATAAATAATTTATGGTGATAACATGTCTGATAGTTATTTTTCCGCAATTACAATAGACCTGTCAGTATTTTAATACTTATAAGTAATTTCTAATCGTTAATCAAATATTTAATATTTATTCAATTAAAAAAAATTTTGTTAGCAGTAGATGTTAGTTTTTTTAAATGCAATTTCAATCGAAAGCTAAGTTTTCGTCATTATTCTTTCTTTTTTTTTAATAAAAATATCAATATTATTCCTATAAATAAAATTAAACGTTTTTAATTTTTATTAAAAATTGTTTCTTGAATTTTTAATGAGTTTCGTTTTAATTTATTAAATTCATATTATTTAGATATATTTTCCTTTTACTAAATTTAAATGCATTCAATTACAAATTAGTAATTTTTATTTTGACATAATTAAGAGAAATTTTTTCAATTTTCTAATAATTTTTTAGATTAAAGAGTCAATGTATATTTCTCGTATAGGTTTGTATTATGAGCTTAATAAACTTAATAGATTACATTATTATCTCTAATTTCAATGATATTTGTTCAATATGTAAAAATTTTCATAATTATTATTTAAAAAAAAAATATCTAATCATTATTAGTTAAAGATTTTCTTTTTCATTTTTATCTATTCGTTGTTTTTATAGATTTGTCACCCTTATTATGCTATAACGTAATAACATATTATATTTGTTAAATTTAAATCAACAATAAAGTTAATGCAACAATATGTTGCTTCAATATTTTGCCAAACTCTATAATAAATCCTGAAATTATAACCAATTGGGTACCGATTAGGAAATGTAAATATTATTTTTCAAACATTTTGCACTTTGAAAACCACATAATTCTGGAGCAATAAATTATATATAAGAGTATATAAATATCACATTAGCTTCTTCATTTCACATTATTACCTTGAGACATTATAGTACAAAGGAAATTTTTTGTGTGGTTATTATAATTATTTTACATTTGACAAGCTTCTACTCGAAAGTTTAAAAATTCAAACATACAAACATATTTTGATATTATAGCATGTAATTAATGACATGAAACATCGTAATTTTCAAAAATAATTTTATCTCAAATGTTCGCAGGTTGAGAACAGAAAAATATTTTGTGAAAAGCAATTTACTTGCATGCAGGGTATACCATAATTACAAACCTTCATTTTTAGACTCATTGTCAAAAAAGTGTACACAATAAGAATGCAAATTAATATTTAAGCAAGGGAATGACGTAATTAAAATTTGTCGGAAAAATCCATTACAAAGGAGGGACAAAAAGCTTCAAAACCAGTTGGATTGCTGAAATGATGTTTCGAATAAGTGTTTTTCACTTGCTTTAAATTTTTTGTCATAATCAAAGAGACTCTCCATTTTTTTTAAACTCACCTCACTCGTTTTTTTTCTTCTTAAATATTAACTTCTGACTTATAATGTGTATATTTTTCTGACTTCATTTTTGATGAGAAATATAAAATTATATATAAAGGGTACAGGTAACGCAACACTTTGCATAATAGAACATATATTGACGACGTCATATTTTTAATAAATCACTAACTAGAATTATATAACATATATGCTAGCACCAAAAATGAAGCTGTTCAACTTTATTGTCGAATAAAAAGTAAATAGCAAGAATAACGAAATAGTTTAAATTATATTATAAATAACCCAGGAAATTTTATCAAGCTCATTGCATACTTACGTATGTAAAAGCGAACATACGCAATTGTTCACGACATTGAATTTTCACAACTGTTTTGTCGGTGTGAAGACAAACTTAGAAAAGATATTGTCTTTGTTTTTAATGTTTTTGTTTTATAAAATACGTTATATTAAATGATTTTCAGCACAATATCATGTTGATCAAAAAATTTACTTTAGCTTTCAGCATATTTTGATAAGAGAATGTACCGAGTATAAAAAACATTACGTATTATTGAATTTAAAACAAAAATTGTTGAAGTTGAAAATTATTTTGATAGTTTTATGTCTAAGCAATGAGGAAAAAGTCGTTAGCAAAATTATTGAAATGTGCGACTAAGCTCATTTAGCTTTTTAAAATGCATCTTTTATGAGATGTTTTTTTGGGTAACACTAGGATAAAGTTATTACACACATAAGACAACATTGAAAATGCATATGTTGATATTATTAGTCAATGAAATTAACACTCACACTAATGTCTAAGCACCGTGTATAGAATTATGATACCGCTATTAATTCTTCAAATTTGAAATAAATGATAAATCTTGAGAAAGAAATTTTAACTTAATTAAGAGATAATGTTACGCCAGTGCTTTAAAAAGAGTGAAAAAGCAATTAGCAATAACTTTTTCAATGATTAAATGAATAATGATTATTTACATTAAAGCTAGTGATAATGGAATACCAAATACACTTGTACTAGTATGTACTAGTGCTTGCAGATGAGGCATTAACTTTTTTATTATGTTTTCTGTAGTTCGTTGTTTGTATAAGTTTGTCATTTTTGTAACTATTGGAAATAATAATAAATTCCTAAAGCTGTTGTCAACTAGTATTATGCCAACAAGTCCCAGTAGCTGATGAAATGTAATTTCCATTAAATTTAATATCTTTTGATGTTAATTTTTTATGATACTTTTCTACATCGCATTACATGTTTCAATATTCTCAAATTATTATCAAGATTCAATGAACAGATCTCGAATTATTTTCCTCGCCTTATGACTTGCCACTTTTCTGAATTAGTAAGCCATCATTTTTGAAGGACAATTAATTGAACAAGCGCCACAAAAAATTTTGTATTTGTGAGACTTAAATAAGACTTCATGCGATTTATTGATTAATTTTCTAGAATCTCATTATCCCTTTTATTCTAATATTACATCGATTGAAAATTTTCTTCTGAATGATCTACCTATTTAACTTCCAGGTAGATAATTACTTTCAGTTATGTAAATTCACACTTAAACTACGTAACACTTAATAATACTCTACATTTTCAACATGAATACTGATTATCTTCTCTTTTGATTATCCATTAACATCTAACAATGATATAAAAACATCAATGGAAGATACGACGTTGATTTAATATTCTCTAAAAAGTAATGTTCTCTTATTGTGAAACGAATATGAATAGGTTTTAAACTAAATTTTTTTTAGTTGATCATTGTAAAATTAAAGTTTAATGAAGATGATGAATAAGAAAGAAATTGTAACGGAATTTGAATGAGGTTTTAATAAAGACTATTTAAAGAGGAAGATGATTTTAATACTTTAAAAAAATATGCTGCTTTTTAGCATTTTGTGGAAAATTTCATCGAATAATGGTTTAACACAGAATGTGTGTATTTGTCTAAAGATTCTTATTATAAAGAGCAAAATATCTGTGGATAAAATAAATACTAAAATTATTAAGTATTGAGATATTTTTTGTTAAAAAAAATTAAAAACAAATGTTTTTTTTGGATTGATATTTGATCAACAGTTGACATATTTTTAGCTACATGGTAATTAATGAAAGTATAAATAGATTTTCGAATTTTTCAAAATGCTCGACATAAAATCAATCTGAATCACATTATTTATGAATACGCAATTGATTTATTGTACACGATTTATTGCAAATCATTGACATTCCAAATAAAGAAAATGTATTAAATAATTTTATTTTTGTATTTTAATGCTATCAATTTACGTTTTTATCAATTTTAAGGCGGAAAAAAGAATTGAAATTAAAAATAACTCCTAAGCTTCATTAAACAAATTTAATTATCTTTTATTAAACAACTTTGTTTAAAATAACTAATCATTTTTCTTACGTTGTATCAATACAATATATAATCACTAATATGATTTTTATGTAATTATTAACAATCTAAAATAAATTGCTTTACATAGAATAGTTTTATTTTTCAAAAATATTAATTTTTTAATGTTGCCAAGGATCATAAAATCAGTTTTAAATATTAATTCTATAAATCAGTTTATGGTTGACTGAACCCTTGATGCTAAGTATATTTACATATTTTCAACATCTTAAAATACTAGATCTTTTGTTCATGTGTTAATTGAATTTTTTTCTGTAGCATGCCAATTTATAATTTGTATTTTTTTAAATGTTTTTCCTTACAATAAATTATAAAATATAGTGCTTAGTTTTTAAAATACAATTTAACGAAATTTCAATTTACAATTTAAAGCATAAAAAATGTGATGAAAAAAAAACATTAAAAATCAAGGAATAATTTGTATATGTTTATAAATAGCATTTATAAATGTAATGTATCACCAGTGTTAGTTCTAATAAATTTAGTACACTAATTGTTTTTGTTATGAGCATGTTGTGCTACAGTTTTTTACAATCAACTTACTTTACATTTAAAATACACACAAGTTGGCATACAACTTGACACCACTCGAGTCCAATAAGTGCACACATACCATTCAGGATGGATATAAACTTTCTTTTCTCTATTCAACAAGTATATTTCATCATTTGACTTAATTATTTGCACAAAATTAACTTTGGCCGAGCCATATTTAAACTACATTCTGTGAAACATCAAACAGGAAAGTCCGGAGGAAGATTATCCCTCCTCTCTTGGGCAAGATGCCATTCCATTTCTAGAAACCTGTCCACATTACTTCGCCCGTGTGCATTGGATAACATTGAATAAAGATTACTACTTCGGTGTTTGTGACTCCTAAGCATTACTCGTCTAGGGTCTACAGCAACCTGTCCATAAACTTGGGGGTGATGCGAAGATGATGCATGAGGAGGAACGGGTAACATGCGACTGCGTGCCATCCTCTCCCTCTCAGGTGGTATGGGAGGAGGTATACCCCTTTCTCTGCTTGCAGCAGCCCTTTCACAAACCAAATCATACATTATCTCCTCATAAACGTGATGCTCTGCCGATGCTGCATAAGACGATGCTGATGCAACACTTCGAGCATCGATATCTTGTTCCAGAAGCGATCCCGTTGATGCAGGTCTGCCACCTGATCTGAAACCAGGAGCTTTTTGGTACCTGGGTAGGAACGATTGGTGTGGAACGGCTGTGGACGGGTAGTTGCCTGTAGCACCAGATGAACCAGACATTAGTTGAGACGAGTGTGGTTCGCCTGTCGCCTGGTACGGAATAATTCTTCCAGAGCGTGTCATAGCTTCTTCCATCCTGAAGTCTTCGATCATCTCCAGAACACGAATCGCTGCCTCTGTTAGTTTAGAGTCCGTGGCATGATGTTGCCGATGGTGTCGTTGCACAAGCTTGGCAGCATTTCGAAAAGTCCGAGGGGCGTGACCCGTTACACCATACATAGGTTGTTGTGGAGTTCTGGAATGATCACCGTCCACAGATTGCGTGGATTCACTCCGCTTTCTGTACAAGGAACTAAGTTGCCTCTCACTGAGTGGCTCTGCACATTTAGGTGCTAAAATAAACAAGAGAAATGTCAATTACCATAATATAAAACACGAAATTTATAATATCCATTTATAAGCGTAGAATCTATAGGCATCCATTAAATCAATACTGTTTACTATTGCAATTCACGAATAGATGTTACAAAGAAAAAACTTTTGAAATGAACTGTTAAATTTGTGCTAAAATATTTTTTCAATTATATTATCAGGTGTTATAAGTATTGAGAAGGTATTGGGCTTTGTTCCAGTGAGATTAAACGATAAAATAGTTTTAAAAAAGTTTACGCCCTGATAAACAGTATGTCTCGCAATTCTGTTGTAAGAATTTTACTTCCCACGGGAGAAGCGATCGTAAAATGAAGTCTAGATGCAAGAAGAAATTTAAAGTGAAAATAGCATAAAAAGTATGGGGGGTGAAAAATTTCTTGTTTTCCAGATTGAAAACAAACAAAAATAAGTGCATTTTTTTTTTAATCTAAAAATTTTGTGGGAAGCCTTTCAGTAAAGAAATGTACAAGTGCAATGAAATAATAACATTACAATGTATTTATTGATACATTTTTAACGCTGCGTTTTCCATACAAAACATTTTTGTAAATTTTAATTAATTTTTTTAAAATTTGTGTTATCTATTATTAATTTTCAATAAAGCTGAAATGTGCTTTGGGTTTATTTAAACTGCAGATTAAGGTTTGTACAAATTTAAAAGCATTCCTTAACCAAATTTAGAGCTACAATAAGTATTAATAACTTTTACAACCAGTATTGACAATTGTTTGGGATGGATGAAATACATCTTATTGGAAGCAAGGAGAAAATTCTATCCAGACTCAAATAAGTTTAAAAAAGTAACTATGTAACATATTAAATCTTATAAAAAGCATAAATCCAAACTCTGTTTTAATATTTTTCTAAAATCAAGTATGTTTTTTAAATTTTTTTTTAAGTTTATGTAAGTTTTTTTTTTTAGTTCAAGTTACTAAAAATAATCGAAAATCTGAGAAAATGTTACGTTTAAAAAAAGGAAGCTGAGATATTTGGCAATTTGCCAGGCAGCATAATTTCCATTTTTTTTTTTTTTTTTTTTTTTTTTTTTTTTTTTTTTTTTTTTNTAGATGACCAAACAGTTTCGGATATCCGCTTGCTTTTCTTGTTTGGATAGGAATCTGCTTTCATTCCACATTCTCTTTTTATTTTTTAATGAACGTTATAAAATTTTAATTAAAAAATTTTTTTGATGCAGAAACATTGGCATAATAGCAAACGGAATGAAAAAAAGAAACTTCTAAAGTATTTTCATCACAATATCTCAAATGAGAAAAATAAATTACTACAATCTTGGTCAGCAGTCAGAGAATGAAAATAACCATTAAGATTGCAATTTATCTTCGTCATTCAAATTCAATAATATTTTAAATATTAAAGCTTATGATATTATTCAAATTTGTATATGCTAAAGCCTCTGATCATTATAAAATCAGGTAGCCATTCTTATTATTTTTACTTCCAATTACTTTTAACGCTAATAAGCTTTCTATAAACATTCAATTAAAGAGCATATCTGACAACTTTTGCTCTTTTTAAAAATGATTTTTCAAAATGCTAGTGAGAAGATGTAAATTGAAAGATCAATAACAAACAAATGCATTTCTATATTTAGCCAGAGTTAATTGTAGTTATTTAATTGTAGTTGTAGTTAAAATCATTCTTAATAAAATTTTAAATGCAAGAATAAAATTGAAAAGCAAAAGTTTTACTACCACATTAAGTAGAAAAATAAAATCTTCTGCGAAATTTATGAGAATTGACAGCCCGCAAAGAGTTATATATTACTTTTAGAAAGCTTTTCTTTCTAATGAAACAAAACATTCGTTTTCTTTTTTCTCTAAATTCATATCGTTTTTAATGTTAGCTACAAACAAGAAACCTTTTTTGAAGCTTTTTTAATCTCAAACAATTTTACAGATGAATGCCATCTGAAGTCATTATGGCTTTGTTATTCCTTGCCGTCATTACGTTGCATAGTTGAAACTCTTAGTTCGAATAGTCATCTAAAGATAAGTCATCAATTTTGATTTTAAGTACTTAGTATTTTTTTTAGTATTTTTTTATAAGTTTTTGAAAAGAATTTACGTGATATAAAACTTTAATTAAAAGGTATTCTTCACAATTATTTCTAAATTTTTTTTCAATAATTAAAAACTTTTCAAAAATTAAAAATCTACTTAAACTGCCTGACTCGATTTTAATGAAAATGTAGGAACTGAAGCAATGGGCCCGCTACGTTAGAACCGACAGGTAGGAACAGTTCGCTTGATAAATTTAGTTGCTCTTCCCCCCCTCCTCCTCCTGAATTGGCCAAAGTTTAAAAAATAAAAACTGTGATGAATAGTGCACAAAATAAAAAAACCCACCTAGAATAACTTTTGATCGAATGATAGGATCATCGCGTTCTGGGTCTCATTCTTAATGATTCGAAGGGGTGATCTCAAATATGATAATTAGTTAGTGCAGATGATATTTTAAGTTACGAAATCAGACACAAAAACGTATTTTCTCTGAAAGAAACTTACCTTTTTTTTCCCGACGGATTCGGACCCCCAAAATATAGGTTGTAGTTGCAATCTGGGAAATATGATCCCAATAGTTTGGACAGGAGAGCGGTCCAAAGTTATAAAGTATAGGTATAAAATTTATTTATCCAAAGATAATTCTATGCAAAAAATAACTTTTATTATTTTTTTTATTTGATATTAGTCAAAAAAGTTTTGAATTGTAAAGTATGCAATACTTACATCATTTTAAGGAATATAATTTTATAAGGCAAAGTACAAAATTTGAGTGAAATCGATAGAATAGTTTTTGAGAAATGGAATTTCAAAAACGTTGTACTTTAAAAATTCGATTTCGTAAGAAATATTCGACCGATTTCGCTCAAACTTTGTATTTTGCCATCTAAAATTATCTTCTTTAAAATGATCTAAAAAAATTGCATGCCTTTCGATTTGAAAATTTTTCGACAAAATATTAAATTAAATAAAGAATAATAAATATTTATTAAGAGTTATTTTCTTGCAGGGAATTAATTATCTTTGGATAAATTAATTTTACAATTATGTGGAAAAAGCTTTCAATCCGCTTAAAAAAAATTTCGAGATATGACGAAATACGCAAAAAGTAAAATTAACATTGAGGGGTCCAAGCTTTGGAGTGATCTTCTGACCTAACTATTGGGTACATTTAGCCCAAATTGCGGATGCCTCCTACTTTTGGGGGGTTAGAAATCCGAATCAGTCGAGAAAAAGGTATGTTCATCCCGTTTTTGTTTGATTTCTTAACTTAAAATATCATCTGAAATTATTAATCAGTATATTATCCCACCGAGCCATTAAGATTGTGTCTTAAACGTGAAAATCCAATCATTAGATCAAAAGTTATTCAGGGTGGTCCGATTTTTTTTTGACACACTGTTGGAATTTTCATTCTGAAATTATGATAAAGTAGCAGGCAGCAGTCTTTCCATCCGATTAACAGTAAAGTTCAAGGTAAAGAACATTTTTTACCTTAACGGTTTTGAAAGCGTTTACTACTAGAATGGTTATAAAACCATGAATTCGAAACTAAGCGTTTTTTTTAAACATTTACAATTAGCATGGTTTAAAAATCTTTAAAAAGAAATTTAACTGGACATAGGAGTTAAACTTTTCGTTGGGAAATAGGCATTGGAGAGAGCAGGGCACTAGAAACTCTTTCTGTTGTTCCGGATTGGAGGAAATATTGTGGTGTCAACCCTGCGATTTGAACCCCAGTTCTGTCGGACATGAGAGTGACAGATTAGCCCTCTCGGCTATAATATGTAAGCAGTTGCAAGGAACTAAGTGACTTTATTAGGTGGGCTTAGTTGGAGTGATAAAATTCTGGTTGTTTTACCGTATTAAGTAAAAGTAGTTAATAAACGGTTTTTCTCACCTTTAACAATTTGATTACCATCTCATTTATGGTTAGTTGACTGTTTCGTTTGAATATGGTAAAATAAAATTGAAACAAATTAATATTTAACCAATTTTTTTCAGGGAAATCTCTAACTGTGAATAAACTTTAAATAGAAAAATGTTTAAAAATGCCTTAAATTTTATTATATCTTATTTACATTGCTAGAAAATAATGTGAGGGGCTGCTTGGATAACCTATCTAAAAAGAGAGAGGAGAGTGATAGTCCAACATTGTACACATCATTTATGCAAAGTCGATTCTGATTAAGGATTAATAAGAAGAAATAAAACTCAGTTACAGATTTTACCAGAACCTGAATCAAGTCAAACAGCAAAGACTACAGCTCTACTATGTTGTGGTCGGATAACAGTTCAAGCTCAATCATTGCCAATGTGACCGCTGCATCATCGAAAATGGATAGTTCAAGCTCTCGAAGTGAACCAAAGAAAACAAGATTTGCAAAAGTGCAAAACTACTTACGAAAATACCACTTTTCGTTATTAAATTGCAATGATGGCCTTTCTTCAGCAATTTAGACGAAATAGTACAACATACATGGCTTGAAATAAATTATCACTAACATTTATTGATTCCAGAAAACTTTCCGGGGGAAATTTTTCAATTTTCCCACAGAATCCTTGTCTTTAGTTGCAAATGGTGGTAATTTATTTGTTTGTTTTCCAGCACTGCTACATTCTACGTTTTAAAAACTTTTGGTTATGAATATTCTAACAATATTAATACTTCTCTCAACCTATCAGTACATCGTACTTCGAATTTTTAAGTCTGTTGGGTAGTTTTATAATTTTTCCAAATCTTGTTTTCTCTGGCAGACTTTGAGAGCTTGAACTATCGATTTTCGATGATGTAGTAGATTTTGAACTGTTATTTGGCGACAATGTAGTAGAGCTTGAATCTGTTTTGTTCCATCGTTTACAGAATGCATCAAGTTCTGATAAAATCTGTAAATAAGCTTTATTCTTCGTATTAATTTTTGATTAGTATTCAACTATGCAAGAACGATCTGACCAATATTTGGCTATCACTCTCTCTTCTCTTTTTAAATCGGTTATCCAAATAGTTCTATTTTCAGGAATAGCAGATATCTCCATCACGACGATCGAAGTTTTGTTTTTGCTTTGATTTACTTATTTCATCTTTTGTGAAATTATACTTTTATTACACTGCTTTGGCCTTAAAGTTACGTATTTGGCGACAAAACAATAACTCAACTAGACATGCTTGCTTGAATATAAAATGTTTATCATATTGACCCAAAGCATTTAAAATATTTAATTTTTGTAAAGATTTTTTTCACAATTTTTATCAAAAATTAAAATTTGTCGTATAACTGGCAATTAAACATTTACATCAAAGGTCATGTAGAACGAAAAAAAAAAAGGTTTTAGATCCCGAGGTAATATTTTTTTTTGAGCAAAAAAATGCAAAAAAAGCATTAAAAATTCCATTAATCTGATTTTTTTTGGAATAAAAGAGTGACGAAAAAGATGGAAAGTAATGTGTATTTCGTAATTAAAGGAATGAAAGAGAAAAAAAGACTGGCTTTAAAAGCTGCAGTATGATATGAGTTTCATAAATGAAAGAATGAGAAATAAAAAAAGGGCTTTAAGGGCTGCAATATAATGTGTTTTTCACGAATAAAAGAATTGAGGAAAAAAAAAATCGTTCGAGAAAATTTACAACGAAAAGAACTTACCCGTTACAAGCTGAAATCTCGCGCACCTTGTCTTCTCTTCGAGCATCGTGACATAATTATTGCTAGGTGGAAATTCCTGAATACTCTCCAAGTCATAATACTCCACACCACTAAGCAAGAAATCAGAGGAACTCTCACCACCTCCTTCTTGATCAATCTCTGCCTCGCCTCGAGAACTGCTCCTGGAGCTCCTGCCTCCCGTGAACGTGGACTCTGAAGATGAACTAATTGCTCTCCGAAAAGGACGATCCTTCCACTCCTCATCTGTCATAGTCCGAGGTGATAGATCGCCGCCGCTATCCCGGAATGTCGTACTCGTTGCTGACGAATCGCTCGGAGATCGCTGTGAATCGCCTCGGTCTGCAAATAACATAGAAGATTGAAATAACTCATATGTCAAAGGTTGATGTTTGAATTCTATTTTGTTAACAAAAATCGAAAGGTTTTTGAAATATATTTAAATAACGGTTCATTGAAAAGTTTCTGATGATTGTTCATGTTGATAGCCTAAAAATAACGGTAAACAAAATATAGATAGTAAACAAAATATAGAAATATCGTATGCATCACAGCCAGGAAATATAAAGTTTTTCTAAAACATTTTTTAAAAAAAATTGGTTCGGCGTTGAATCATAATTTTAGAGTCTTGAACGGTAAAAATTTGCTACAATTTTAATAAGGTATTAAATTGAACCCTGTTCCGTACAAGTTGAACTATAGTATCATGCAATCAAGTTTCAAAATTAGAATATTTGATTTAACTTTAGCACTATTTTAAGATTGCAGCAATTTAAAGGCTATTATGGTGGAACTGGTTCCAAATTTCTAGCAGTATGCAGATCAATAACTTTTAGACTCTGTTGAATGTTTATTTTGAATAATGTTTACGATTTCTTTCCTTATTAAGCATTCTTGAAATAAATATTAACACGTTTTTTATGCATATTTTTGACTTTTGTAGCCCATTCTTTTGAAAAGGGAGGTTTAAGTATCGAGGGCCCTCCAGTATAATCCTATAAACTTCTGACAACGTGCGTTAACGACGCATAGAAGACCAAACGTATAGACGTAAAAAAACTAATTCGATCCAAGTTTTCATGAGTAAAGAATGAATTTTCAAGAACAAAATACCACCTTTCTTCAAGAACTAACTCCGATGCCTATATCCCATGATGCCTATATACATATATCACCTAGATCCCAAACTAACTTAAATATTCATTTGGTAGTGATTAATGAGTTTTCAACTTTTAATTACTTCAAATGCAATCTTTACCTTTCCTGAGCGATTGTCTCAGATACATAAGATGATCCAATGTGACGTCATTCATGTGTGAAGTAGTGTGAGGTTGCCTGGATGATCTATCAATCATTTTGAATTTACCAGCAATTGATCTAGTTCCCATTTTGATTTTCGTAGACTTTCCATCCTGTCCGTCCAAACTTCGGGGCCTACCGGATGTTGTTGAAGAGTCGGACGCACTGACATCAGAACCACTCCTTCGCACTTCGGGAGCACTAAGACTGTCTGATACTTCAGGTGTAGCACACAAGCTCTTGTAACCACTGTCAATGGAGTTGGAACCAGCATATGCTATAGATTCTGGATCACTGTTTGGTATCTAAAAAGAATTTCACGAATGAAGAAGAGTACACAAATCTCAAAACATTTATATTTACAGAGTTGGTGCAACTCTTATGCAGGGCCCGCGCTAAGCATTTGCCATCGCGTCAAATGCGATAAAAGTGTAAATTCGGCGAAACATATTGTTTTTTGGCGAAAGTAATGGCGTACGGCTTTTCCTCTGAAAAGAAAAATATATATTCCCCTAGATCCTGAAAATTACATCAATATGAATTTTTCTGAGCAAATTTTGTATTTTTATTTGATTGCAGTAATTTCCCTTAGATATGTAGCATAACTAATTAGAATTGTAAATAACAAGAAAGATTATGTGAGCATAATTTGTTTTTTTTTTACAGATAAGCACGTGTGGTGCCGGATCATGCGAAATCACGCGACGAAAGTTTTTCCCACAGTTTGAGTCAATGAAGCAGATTAAGTGTTAGCTAGATACATATTACAAAGTGATTTATTTTTCCAGAAAATATGTGCACTCACGATTATAACATATTGTTTATTAAAATAAACTTACTGTAAAATTTAAAAACTAAAGCGGTTTATCTTTTATTACTTTTCAATGATAAATATACTATAACCACCTGCTCTTGGCTGGTAATGAATGTGTTTACTACCCCCCCCCCAAATTTCACTCAATCTCAGAGTAGTATAAAAATCAATAAAATAAAATAGAATCAAATTATTCATATAACTTATCTTCTACAGCGGTCCTTTATTCCTCTCAATGATTACTATCTCGAAAGTGAAAAAAAAAGCGAGACAGTAAAAATTCTTGTATTGAAAAATAAAAGACTTAAAGAATGACAAGTTTTATTTAAAAAGAAATATATTAATTTAAAAGATAGTCAAAATCTGAAGAAAAAAAATATTGTATGTACCTTCAGGTTTATCTTTAGATTACTGCTCTAGTGTAGGAAGCATATCAAAAATTAATCCCAACCTATTCTTGTTTTTTTTCTTCAATGACGATATAACATGTATATTTTTGATTTTCACACCCATTCTTGTTCATTAACTCCTCAACTGTAAAATGACTCTTGATTTGAATTCTCATTGCTCAATAAACAGTAAATTTGTATTTTGACTTTAAGATTTCTACGGGGAAAAAATTTATCACAAAAATTTGTCTTAGGCTATGGCTTTCGAAATTTGGCGAACACTTCTGATATTTGGTTAATTTGCAGGTTAGTAATTTGAAATTCTTAGCTCAGGCCCTTCTTATGTGATTGCGTTAAGTATGTGTTTAACATACTGTATAATAGTATGATTGTATAGTTTAGGTTTCTGTTACAGATTCACAATTAGATAAGAGAGATATTCCCCTTACTTAGTTCTCATCATTAATTTATAATTTTATGGAAAGTAAAAATATTTCCCAATGAATTTAGTTGAGACATAAGATATATAAATAATTTAATTTAATAAATTAATATTTAATGAAATAAAATATTTGCTCTAATATTCTGATCTAACAAAGCAACTATCGTTGGTACATTCATAATAATATCCGTAGCTAAAACCAATTATTATAAATTTGCTGTTTGAGCTAAATGTCTAAGTCAGTAGGGGAGAGTGGGGTCAATTGTAACAGGGTACGATTGTAACAAAGCAAAAATTTCGAGTGTCGGGTTCTAGATTTGGTTCCTAGGTGGCGCACAAGGTGTATTTAATAAATCTACATGTACACCCCTGATGGCAACCATTTTTATGTACTTTTGAAAGAGTTACATCACAAAAGATATTTTCACGCCACGCAAGTACTTTTTTTGGTATTAGAATATTATATTGTAACAAAGTAATTTTGTTTAAACAAATAAAAATTAGTAACCGAATATGTAAGTGGACACCTTAATTAACATTTCAATAAAAAAAAAAAGATTAGTTTTGTTAATTAACTAGCATTGTTTTTAACAAATGAAGCTGAAATGGCGTCTTGGGGACAATTGTAACAATAAGTAAAGGGACGATTGTAACAGCTGAAAATAAATAATCTTATGTTTACAAACCATTACTTAACTCTTTAAGAACCACCAATAGTTTCCTATATCATTTATATTATGTTGCATGTGCATTATTTTATTTGTCACCTTTCACAGCATAAATTAAAATTTTTAACCCCTTAAAGTTAAAAGTTTAACCCTTTAGGTCTCTGCTCATTATTATTTTTACTCCTAAAATATCACTACTATTTTGATCAATAAAAAAATATATCACAACTATGATAATATGTATAATTAACTATGTTTTAGTTGAATTTATGAACTGTTACAATTGACCCCGTAAGTGGGGACAATTGTAACAAGTGCACGACTGTCAAAAATTGTTAATAACTAATATAATAACATTTAAAATAAGGTATTTATTTTTTTTTCTAGTAGAGGATAGTCTACTTTACTCGTCTGTCAATTAATACTAATAATATATTGGATTTTTTGTTAGTTAAAAATAGTTAAGTAAAAAATGTTACAATTGACCCCACTCTCCCCTACATTGTGACTAAAATTAAGTATAATTTTGAAGCTCCACAGTTATTACCCAATTTCCTTGAGAACATGTGATTTATTAAAAAATTAAGCAATTAAAACAACTTTTTATGATTTAATTTGTGCTCCGTTTGACAGAGGGTAGGTTCGCAGGGCAGTGTGCTTAGAAACTTCACGTAAATAATCAGAAATATGTAACTTGATTCTCTTTTATAAAGGTACACGAATTACAAAAGTCCCTTATTTAAATTTTTTTATTCAAATGGAAAATTGAATAAAAAAGTAAAAACACCTGAGAACTGATTATAATTCTCTTTTAAGTGTTATTTAGCTTTTATTTAGTGTTATTTTATAGTTCGATTTAATTTTTTACTGATTCATAAGGTCTTCCTGCTCATCTGAAAATTCTAATAAAAGTTTTTCTAAAGTTATCCCTTTAGAGTATCCCTTTGAACATTTAAACACACTTAGAGTATTTTGTTTCATCGACTATGTATGTGCGAAATTTGAAACATGCTATGTAAAATGATTAAAACTCATCATTGTTCTAAGGTTTAAGTAAATTTGGAGATCATGAATTATTTCTTTTTTATAAAAAAGACAAAATGGGAATCATCGAAATTATACTTGTTAACAAAATGGTTCAAAGGTAACTGGTCTAAGATAAATTATTTAGATGTGTAACTTATATAGTGAATAAGCGAACCAAAATATAGCGTTATTTTAATTAGATCGTTAAATCGTTTTCATTATATAGAGGTCAAAAATTAATTATCCGTGGAAGAAATATTGTACCATAAATCTTCTTTGGTGTGCTACACTGAATTCCAAAATCTCAAAGGATTCATTCATTCATTTTCTTCAGGCTCGTGTACGTACTTCCAGAAAGTACGATGCTCTTAGTGTTGAATTTAAACAATAAGTAATTAATTCATTTCGAAATTGATAAATCAAGTTATTTTTAGCATTTACGGTAACTTTTAAAAGTAAATATGTTGTTGAAATACTCTTCACATGATGTAAACAACAGTCAAATATTCTGACAAGGCTAAAAATAATTTTAGTGATAGGTTGCACCTGAATAACAAAACTCTTTAAGAAATGTTATATAATTCTTTTAATTTACTTTCTATTCTATTTATACTTTCTAATGAAATTATTATTCTTTAAGAAATGATGTTATTTTGAAAGCATCATTATTCAAACTTTGAAATAGAAAATTTGCCTGTTAGTATTTTAAAAAAAGAATGGATTTCGATAACAAGTACGAAAAAAAAAAAGAATGTGGGAGCAGATTTTAAACTGTTAACGATAGAAAACAGATCTAAATCGAAGAAGTAACTCATGTTTTCAAATAAGTCAGCAGACACACATACTGACCTGTTGATGGTGGTGTCTGTGAGTGCGGTGTGTTCGAACTCGCATTTGTTCTGGTTTGCGTTGTCGACCTTGATACCTTAGCTGCTGGTAAACGATATCAAGATCTGAATCATCTGAATCTGCATTGGAATTAGCTAGCTCTCCTATTGTATCCAACAATGGATTAGATGGTGGATTCAGTCCCAGCATGGCAATGGGATCGCTCTTTGCCGACTCCGGTGAAGATTGAGATGGCAGCAGACCAGAACTTTTAGGTTTGGAACTTTCTGGCGTTCGAACAGAAATAGAGGGACTGGTGTTTTCTGTTACGGATGGAGGTGGTGGTGTTGTTGTATGACTCTGTATCTAATGATTGGAGAAAAAAAAATATTTTAGAATAAAGGAGAGAAAATAGCAACTGTTATACAAATAATTTGCAAGCTTGATTCTGATGTAAGGATTAAGTACGGGGTGTTTTTGAAATGACATAAATAAAAAGCTGTTGATGATAACACTGAAAAGAGAATCGGATTGAACGCTGAATTGAACGTCGTTGAATGTTAATTGAATGTTTCGGAAGGTTAACATATAAATATTCTAGAATGTAGTTTTTTTCGTCATAAATACGATTATTCTAACATATAATAACAATATGTAATAATATATTGTATAATGTAACAAATAATCAGTGAAAAATGACAGACAAATATTTTAATCAAATATAAGTTAAGAATTTCAAAATTTTCAATCTACACAACTAATATTATTTTTCTTGTACTATAGAGTATGAAGCTTAGGTTTCTCAGTACCAAAATATGAATTTCAATGCAAAAATAAATATTTTTTATTTTTATATAGTGCAAAAGAATAAATATTTTAGTACTTCTGTTTATGAAAATTAATACAAATTTTAAAAGTATATTCAGATTCAAAACGTGTTGGAAAATGTGCAACAAACTTAGTAAATTAACTGAGACGATATTTCCATTACAGATAACAGTTAATGATTACTTTTGAGAAAAATAAATTAAAGTTTAAAGGTATTGTGATTTAAATAAAATTCTAAACCAAAGTAATGCATAAAAAGATGTTTGAGATAACAATGTGGCAAGAAATTAGATGCATTAGATTAGATTGGATCATTTAACGAAATCTGAACATAACTTATCTAACTAAAATTTACCAGTCCAATTTTTGATAATTTTGTAACTTATACACACATATATCTAATTGATATGGGCTATTTTAATAGAAATTCTGTATGAATCGTGCATGGAAAATCATTATTTACAAACAAATAAAAACCCTAATCTCATTTTAAAAACTGATTTAGCCCTTATGAACATAGGGAATTTTTTTCAGGCATCAGAAACTAGCCATAGACTGCATTAAGTTCATTCTTGCAATTATTTCTCTCCAAAAGATCATAAGACCGGGCCATAAGCCACTGTTGGATTTAGAATCCTCAAATGAATACATAAAATTAAATTAAAATTACAAGCATTAAATCTTTTTTGAATTAAACCAATTAACTCCTCATATGTTTTTTAAACATACTATTGATAAGAAATAGCTACCATTGGTGTTAATTTTAATTACTCAAAGAGAAAAGCATCTTATTCTATATTGAAAAATATCCGTTTTATGAGGGGATGTATCTGATTTATGCGAAGAAGTAACTAATATTACTAATGTCATTCTGTTTGCTCTTGTGGCTGCGTGGTGTGTGCAATATATCTTTATTGAGTGTTGCTACTTTTTTTTTAAAATTGAAATAAATAGAATCCAAACATAAAGGAAAACAATCACCACAAAGATAAAAATAGTAGATCAACTTACTTTAGTAGGCTTGGATATGGCTGTGGTACTTTCAATTGATAAAATTGATTTACTATCTACAGGTGAAAGATTGGGGCTTGAAGAGCTCAACGGAACCATGGAACATGTGACTGAAAAAAATATTTAAAAAAAATAATGAAAGAAATTTAATAACTGCAAAATTTTTTGAAAATTATAAACTAAATTTCCATTACGATATAATCGAAACATCCTAATAAACATTCGTATTGAAAAATTAAAACAATCTTTCAAAAAACATTTGAAATGTTCATTGTGACTTTAGTATTCCTTTAATTCCTCCCTTTGCGGAATTTAAAACGAAACACGAACTCGTACAGAACTTATTTTAGTTTTAATCTACTGGTGATATTTGCATTTATATCAAGTTTTGGTGGCAACCTTTAAGGTCAACTTCTTTTAAGAACAATCACACCTGATGTAATTAAACCATGCTTTTGCAAAAAAAACTTTAAGAATAAAAAAAAAAACATAATTATTTTTTTTTAGAAAATGCCATAGCAAAAATAATGACAGAATTAGAAAATAATTTTTGTTCTGGTTTTATTATGTAACAAAACATGTTTAACCTTGTCAGTAAGCGAAATTATACATAGTCTAATAATAATTAAAACTTAGTTAAAAAATAAAAACTTTTTAAATAAGTTACTTCTTAAACATCTCATTTTACCTATTTTATTCCAACCTTAATTCAGTGCATGAAATTTTTAATGATAACTGTATTGTTTTGGAATTTAAGTGCACAGTTCACAAGACAAATTAAAATTACTGATGGTCATATTTTCTTAAGTTTTTTTTATTTAAGTTTTTAAAGTAAAATATTGTTAGATTCACGAACAGTCGTATTCAGTAAAAATTTTAATAATATTCTTGGTATTATAACATGTTACTCAAAGAAGTTTTCGAGACATTATGTGCTGAATAATTGAAACGTTGATGAAGCTAATCCAATATTTTATTTAAAAAAGTAATTATTTTATTAGTAAAGTAAATATTTTAATAATATTATATATGTAATGCATACAGGAAACGGAGGAAAGTGTTATAAACTTCGGGAGTGTTAAGATTAGCGGAACAATAAAGTATTGGATCACTTTTCGACAAGACTTTACTAGATTAAAAATTATTTTAGAACTCCAATTTTTAATACGTATAAATTGTGCAGAACTTACTTCATTTTTACAAAATTAAGAAAATTTTAATTTTTGAATGATTTTAAAGACGGTAAAATGTAATCTTTTAATAAAACTTATTTAAATTTTTCAAGAACATTTGAACAAGTTATTTTGTAACAGCCTTGTATAATAATTTTTTATCGATTTATATTAAAAACGTGTTTAAACTTTAATCTAACATAGATTCATATACATAATATACAATAGTGCTGCATCTTGTAAAATCATAGATGTATTTTTAAGTATTTGAAATTCCTAAAAACATTTACAAGAAATAATTTGAGACAGGTCAAGTAGTAGAAAAATAAAATTAAAATTGGGATTATAAAAAAATTGCCTCACCTTAAAAATGTTTTAAAAAATCCTCTTCACTCATTGAAACTTTTTGATTTTATTTAAATTTTATACCTGTGTTGTTAAGGCTAACCCGCTTTAGTATCATTGTTAGTTTTCTCAATTTTTTTCGTGTATTACTGCAGTTTAAAAAGAGTAGACGATTTCAATTCAAAAGATCTAACGATTTCTTTAAAGAATTTATGATTAAGTGTTAAAAGAACTTTCATCTACTTATATCTTCCTGAGCAAATGTATTTTATGTACTAAATTAATTCAATGCAAGCTGCTGAAAAAAAAATACTGAGACTAAAAAATGAAAAAGATACAGAGACTAAAAAATTACAAGTAAATAAACGAAGGAAAGAAACAAAAATGTCGCCAAAACTTCGCCTATTACATTTTTGCATTAAAATTTTCAAAACAAATTATGTATTAATAATGAATAGTTCTATATAATCATTACTTCATGGTTAAGTTGCGCTCTTATTGGTTTATATTTGCTTCTAAGATAGTTTTAAAGGTATAAATCTGGATTTTAGAAAGAATAAAATGGAATAATCGAAATTCATATGATGTCATTATATTAGATATTTTAAAACTATATAATAAATAAAAAGCTAAATGGTATTATTTTTTTTCCTAAATCAGGAATGTTTAAATTTTAAATACTTCTTAAATATTCTGCACTTATTGTTTCTTTAAATACTTGTCAAATATTGGAAAAAATATGCTCTTGATTATGATTCTTCATTTCATGATCTTGATTACATTTTTGTTTGACTGTCAATGTAAATTATTCTAATTTTCCATAGTAATTTGAAAGTTATTTTTGATTTAATAGCTGGCATCAGGAGAAAATATCACGAGCTTTGCCAAGCTGCTTAAATTTTTTCTGTTATTAACATTTATTTTTTAATAAGCGGTATTCAATACATTAAGATGGATGAAATTAACATTAAGGTTATATCTGTAATGGTATCACAAATAACCCTGTATTAAAATACACTCAATTACAATCAGTCATCCTTTCAATTCATCAATTTCAATTCCAGTAGCGAGCATGAAGTACAGTATCAATGACTGGAATAAAAAAAAAATTGATTAAAAAAGTTTGATTCGAATTCTTCGGAAAGCAAAACAGAACCTGAGGCTGAGACATTCCTGACTATTATTGATGACATAATTTGATATGATGAATTTTCTAAATAAATATTCCTTTCAAAATGCTCAAAACATAATTTCGACATGAAATAAAATACACCCAATAAAATAGAATGTTGACTATTAGAACTAAGAAGTTCTGTTGTGTACTGAAAACACCTTTTTAAATGGGGGAGAAAAAAAAATGTATTAATGTTTTCTCAAATTGTTAAGAAGACGAGAAAATAAATTTTTTGATTATTAAGATTTATTCCTTGAGAAAAATTCCTATAAATTTAAATAGTGAAACAAAATATAAATCAATACAAACTAAAGCAATTGGTAAAAAAATTCTTGGGGAAATTATTCGAATTATAGCTCTAAGAAGAAAGTTTTCTTCGTAAATTCTGTTTCACCTCCATAAGTAGTTTGAAAGTATTGAAAGTTTGAAGTATTAAAAAATGAGTTCAGAAAAAACTTGATTATGCCATAAAATTTTAGTTTGCTGAAAAAAATTTCAAAACATCAAAATGCAAAAAATTGTTGAAAATAAACTTCCCCATTCCATACTCCTAATTTGTCCTCTCATAATTTGTTTTCATTTTGATATTTTGAATTTTTTTTCTCAGTACTTTTGGAGAAGAATTTGCGTAGAAAAGTTTCTCCCTTGGTATAGCCTCCTTTTAAGCGGCCAAATGTATGAACCAATTATTTTTCTCAAAATTTACACTTTATTTAATAAAAACTAATTGATTAAAGTAAAAAAATTACCCCCAATACAATCTGTAATTGATCAATGTGAGTGTCCATATAAAATGGAAATCGCATGGCTGTAGATCTCAGTTAAATTTTTGCACTACCTTACAATAATGGAACAGACTAGAGATGTGCCGGGTTCTAACATTTTTCCCGGTATGGATACCCGATTCCAGAATGAAAATTGCATCTTTTACCCGACCGGTTTTGGGTATCCGATAAAATTTGGATTTTTTCAGCCCTGTTTTGGGTAGCTAATTTACAATCAGGTGGGATTTAACGACTCATTCTCTTTTTTGGAAATTTTCCTATTGGCTGTAGTAAATACCAATTATAATACAAGCTTTTATTTTTTTTAAGAAAAGTTTGTTACCTGAACTAAAAACTACCTGGAAAATTTTGTTGAAAAATAACTTCCGGCTACTCTGCCGGGCATTATAACATTTTTACAAAACAATATACAAACTGTATAATTTTGTATCTAACAAATATTTAGCAAGACATCATTTTAAGGAAGTTTATTGCGCCCATATATGAATCGAAATATATTTTTTATTTTTAGATTTTTTTGTACTAAATTTAAAAAAAAAAAAAAAAAAAAAAAAAAAAATTTTTAANAAAATATATATTTAAAAAAAAATTATAATAAAATTTTTATTTATTTGATTTACTTAAATTTACAATGGAATTTATTGATGTAGCTTCTTTAAACGTTGGATATTTTAAAAAGGCTTTTCTTTTAAATGACAGTCTGTTAAATGAAAAATTTTTAATTATCAGGGCTCAATTTTTAATCATTCGATTACAATAACACAATTTAGATGCAAATACACAATTTACATGCTCTGGCCGTGATAGCCTGGTCGGTAGGGCGCTGGGCCCATGTCCGAGAGTTCGTGGGTTCGAACCCCGCCGGCCGAAGACTCCCCGAGTAGTAAATGGTGACTGATGCACGTTAAATCTCTCGAATTTCAAAGTCCTCCATTTTCCCATAACAAATCAATACCTCTGGGGGTACTGGATTGGAGATCGATCGTTCTTTGATCCAGGTCAAAAATTACGATGTGTGAATGAATGGGTCCTTCCTATAAACGGGTGTGACGTGTGAGTGGCTAAAGACAAATTCTTGGCCATAGATGGAGCCACTGAAAAACAAGAAACGCACCCTCTGCCTTAAATTTGCTCGGTTTCACCAAGCAGGCGTGCTAGTGTGACAAGTAGCATTAGAAACAACAACAACATGTAAATAGATCTAACTTAGTGCACTCTTTTAAACGTTTCGATATTTGGTGAGAAATTCTAATCAATATTGAACAGAAGATTCATTCAGCTGTTTTGATGTCTTAATGTTACGATTTTATTTCCGTATCCATGTATTTTTGCACACCCCAAAAGATCGAACAACTTCTAAATCAAGCAAGAAATAAGGGAGTGAATTTGATTTCTTTTATACTAAACCGTGAAGAAAACAAAACATGAAAACCTCCCATGGTTAACTTGACACTAAGAGAATTTTTACCACACTAGTTGGAATTTAGATTTATTGAGCTAACAAGTGAGAAACTATCTTTTACTAAATACTAGAAAATTACCGATGACTCATTTCATTCATATATGCTTCTTTTCAATACAAGTGTAAATGAAGTTATACTGAAAAGGCATTAAAAAGTTTACAAATGAACTTTGTAGCAATTTTTAATAACAAAAATAACATTTTAAAATTTTAAAAAATTTTGCAAGATATGGACATTTAAAGCAGCACTTTCATACTAAGCATACATGGAAAACATTTAAAAAAATGGTTTCATGATTTTTTTGTGAATCATGTTTGGTAATTTATGAAAAAAATCCGTTTCGAATATCTTGAAAATTTAAAAAGTTTTTAACATTTTTCTAATTAGTTTCTGTACATTTTTAAAGAAAGCTCTAATTGATAAGGGTTTTTCCGCAAATTTTCATTTCGTGTCATGGAACGAAATTTAATAATAAATGATTATACCCTGAATAATATCACCTTGCAAAAATCTCCAGGACAATAAATAGTGATTGTGTAAGGAAAGGCATGAAATGAAGCATTAATTAATAAGGAATGGTCCCCTATAATGCCGGTGACGTTTTTAATCATTTTTAAATGGTGCAAAATAAAATTTTTGCATACCCCCTTTTATTTAACAATTTGCAAAAACTACTTAGAAAATTGTGATAAACTTTTCAAACTTTCTAGAAATTTAAATTTGACTTTTTTTTTATAAATTATAAAATACAATTCACAACAAAATTATGAAATTATCTTTTCAAATATTTTTTGAGCATGCGCAGTATGAAAGGATTATTTTTAAATGCCCATATCTTTTTCAATTTCTGAAATTTTTTCACAAACATAAAATGATATTTCTGTTATTAATTAAAATCGACTAGAAATATTTTGCTTAATTTTATCGAATATTATTACAGTTATAGTAGGAAAACGAAGGGCAAAAAAAATTTTTTTTTGTAAAAATGTTCAAATTTACATAAATATTTAATCTAGATTTACAAAGTTTATTAGAGTTATTCAGAGTGATAACCAAAGTAATTGATACAATATTGCTATATTTTCTGGCATAGGATGTTCCAAAAGTATTTTTTTCCGTTCGTCAATTATTGCCAGTTTCTCAAGCCTCTGAAAACTTCAAAATTATTGATAAGTATCAGAAATTGCATGACCTAAACACCTCTAAAGTTATAAAATAATTCTAAAAGTATTTTTTGAGAGATTTAATAAAAAATATCAAAATCTGAAAATATCTGTTCCATTATTGAAGAGTAGTGAATGTTTGATTATAAAAATAGTTAGAGGAGATAGTTAGATTATAAAAAATGGTTCTCTTAATTAATATTATATTTCACGCATTATAAAGTAAAGTTTAACACCCTCTATCTCTCTGATCTGCCTGTAGATGACGTTTATGAGTACTAAGTATTCACCTACTAAAGAATTCGCTTCATGAATAGCTTTAGATTGCACTATAAGTTTGGGAACTTAGTCTGCGTGGTTCTCTAGCATTTTGTGTGGATGCAATTTGTTTGGCTCAGCTACAGATTTTTTTTCTTAACAACTTATTTTTATATAATTCTTCCTTGAACAAAACAGCCTTTTATTCCTTGCCACGCATGTGATAAAATTTTATTTATAAAAAGATTTTTTTTTCTTCGGAAAAGAAAGCAATCAATTTAACAATTGATTCAGTTTTTTCAATACCTGTAGTATTAGTGACTGGTGAGGAGGTAGTCGTTGTCACCGTGGACGACGGTATAGGACTAGTTGGAGTTACCCTTTCGGGAGTTTTGCATTTTGATGGTCCCATTGAGGATCCTTTCAATCTGTCACCGACCACCACATGCTTCAGAGGCTGATTGCTTGAGGTAGTCATGGTCTGATTGCCGAAGATATCTTCGAACACAGAGTACATGTGCCACATTTGTCGTGTTACGTCATCTCCTTGTAGAATTAGTTCCAGCTGAAGGGACAAAAAAAGAAACGATGTAAGTAAAGCATAGAGTCACAAAAGTACAAAAAAAAATGCATTAGCTACATGTAGCTAGTGTTACTTTAAGGTAACATACAGAACGTAATGTGGTGTAGCAATTCTGCTTTTTACTTCAAAGTAACACAACATTAATTTTAATACCATTTAAAATGATGGACATTAAAATAAACTAAGTGATGGAATGGATGTTAAGACGTCTTGGTTTGAACACAATTTACAATTTTCGTTCATTTGAGGTCTCGGTGTTTAATAGGAATCAGAGTTAGATTAAAAGATTCCGCAGTAGATATCTAGTTTAAGAACTCGCAAAATTTATGAAAATAGCATTTCATTTTCGTCATGAACCCGTAAACCAAGATTTGATACCTAAGTAATCAGCAGATTTCTTAAAGTTTTGTCCTAAACCTAGAAAAATAAAATTATACCTGCCAAATGAAATTTATGAAGAAATTGAGAATAAGAGAATATATTATTAAATAATTCGTCTCCTATTACTTGGGTTATTTCGTACAAAATAAAAAGAATCAAATTTCTCTCCATATTACCATCTTAATTTTTCATAAAATTTGCTACGCAGGTACCAGGAGTTGACAAGTTTCTGACTAAGGTTATAGTAGGAAAAAAGGGAGAAATTAGAGAAAAACGATGTGGATGCAAATAATGGTAAGAAAAAGTTGAGCTCTAGTGTAGCCTGATATAATTTTCTGACAAGGAAGGATTTTAAACTCTAGATTTCATTTAAATTTTGTTTGGGGTTAAAGTATCGTAGCTCATATTTAAATAAGTTGATTTTCATCTCTTTTATAAGTATTACTAATAGGTAGAAATAGTTTGCTGTTTCACTAGTTTCTAGGTGAGTATTTTCCTGACTTTTGTAAGGCTACTTCAGGATTTTAACGAGCAAAAATAAGTAAAAATAAATAAATAAAAATCTTAAAAGGATAACCTATAATTTTTTTTCACAGAGCATAAAAAAATGTATATTTACAACAAGTTGGAAACAAAATTTACTCATTATTGACTGTAAAAGTTTAGTGAAAATTAAAGCAAAAATACCAACTGATTTAATAATATAAATTGGCAAGTAATCAAAACAATAGTGTTCTTTTATATCATTTTATTCAAGCAATTTTGCAACAGTAATTGAACATATCACTTTTTAAACACGAATCTGAAGAAAAAGTACTCTTTTAAATAAAACTTTAAATACGCATTACATTAAGATATAAATTAAGTATTTTAATTGCAAAAGTTAAAAAAAAAACTGCATAAATTAAAATTGTGAAAGTTAAGAAATTTGTAATATCTTTTTTTTTTTGTTAGACCTGATAGTAGATGTAACTGATAGATAAATTTGTTGAACCAATTAACTTGAAAAATTAGGTTAAAGGGAAGTATAAAAATGATAACATTAAATAAGTTATGTTGCGCGTTATCCAAAGAAATTCGTTTCTAAATTAAAAATCCTCTTTTAAAGTGAGAAAAATAAGAAAATTAATTTAAATTAATCGTTGCACTCCTCATCAAAATCTTCCCACCGTGTTACACATGCAAATGGCACACTACTATTCTATTACTACATTAATTTGGGATTGTATATTACTTCACGTTCAGAAACTTATAAATATTCACAGAAAATGCGCCTATGGTTTAAGCCCAAAGTTTTTTATTTGTTTACATTGAAGGGTATTTTTTTCCAGAGTAATTCTTTTTAAAAACTAATCGCTTATAAATTTCCTAAATAAGATTTTTTAAAAATGTAAGAAGAGAAAAAAAAAGAATAATAATATCACATATTTCAATTTCTAAATTAATTTATAATTATAGTTAAGCAAAAGCAATTGCAAGTTTTTTCCTGATATAAACTAAGCAGTTAGACATTTTAATATTTTTATTTTTCACAGCCAAATTGATTCAAATATAAAATAATAAAATAAATAACATTTAGAGAGAGAGAGAGAGGAATTAACACCCCCCTAGAATTATTTTTCATGAGAGAATATAATTATAAAGAATTTACATTATCAAAGTCAATAATGTGTTAAATAATTTTCAAAATTCTTCTTTATTAGTTCTTTTAAATTATGTAACGGTAATTCATGCCAAGTATGCAGTATTCATGCCAAGTATGCTCTACTATAGTGCAGCAGCATTCCCTATACTACGTTACATAACTCGATTATAAAAATACCGCATACTGCTCTTTTTGAAACCACAACACACCAAGATGTCTTTTTGAAACCACAACTAACCTTCAGGGCAATATTACACTATGCAAAGGTATATATATATATTCAGAAACCTAGGTGTGTCTAATAATTAGTCAAAGAGTTTAGATCGGATAATAATAACACAGGGGAACAAATTTTTTGTTGCATTCATAAAAATATTTGATCTTGCTTTGATATACACTACCGGTCAAAAGTTTGCGAAAATTTTAAAATCTACAAAGAAAAGGTCTAAATTCAAATGTTNTATCACGTAAATGTTGCGATATAAACTTCTAGGGGAGTTAAGGTACATCATCAGGATTAAAACTGCAACTGAACCCGCATCCGGAAATGTCATCGTACGAGGCTAGGGGCACTTTCCCTATTATGACACCTACTCAGAAGTAACGAATAAATAGTTTATAATAGGGAGGCAACCATAGCGGCATACGATGGCATTGCTGGGTAAGGATTCCTGTGAAATTTTAATCCTGATGATGTGCTCTGATTTCCCGAGAAGTTTGTCGTAGCTTTTATACAACACATTCAAAAAATGTAGCTTGGGGAGCGAAACCGGTTGCAGATTTGAAATCAGCTATACGATCTGTTAAAAAATCTTATGCAAAAAAAAATAAATAAATGTTTTCTAGTGTAATGAAAAGGAAATAAGGATATCATTCAGGGTGCCAGTACTTTTTATCTGGCACATGCTACGGAGCAAAAAATCTGATATGCCGTAATTTTTACAAGAATAATTAGTGTAAAATCTCTAAATCACTTTAATTAACTTAATATTACTGTAAAAGTTACGGTATAGTATTTTACGGTAAAAATGGACTTTATGGTAAAATGGGTCTTACGGCTGATGTACTCAAAGTGCCGGTATTTTATATCGTAATTTGATCTGGAATTTTTTACTGTGCAGAAAAAAGATAGATAGGGTAAATACCAATGGAATATTGAACCAATCGTGTGTTTAGCAATTTAGTGATACAATTTCGATATAACACGATTTTTATCGCACTTATACGATCATATCCAAATTCATCGTTTTTATCTTCAAGTTATGTCTTAACTTAGCGGTGTAAAAGAGAGGGAAAAAAAGTTAATATCTTTCCAAAGTACCTCCATTTCTTCCGATCGTTGCTTTTAAGTTATTACATATGAATCCCAAACATTTCTGTGGGCAATGTAAGTACTGATTTGCAGGTACTATCTGTTCATTAGAGCTACATTTGGAAGTCCGGTTCCCCATTATCAGTGGTAGATATTTACGTCCACTTAGCCATTCTAAAGTTCGCAGATTATTATAAGATTATTTTCTTTTTAGCATTCTTCGTTTACCGGGTAAATCGTGACGGTCTGCGGCTAGAGAAAACGCACGATTTCTTGTGATAGATGGCAAATCGTGACATTGTTTCCTCTCTATATTCTCTTCTTCTTGTGTCATGGTAGAAAATAAAAGCATTATCTGCATCAAGATGCGTTCCGAAGTTTATTTTTCTTATTTCTTTTTTTATTTGCTTCGGAATCGAAATGTCTTTTTAAAATGCAAAGGAAAAAAAAAATCTGCATCAAGATGCGTTCCGAAATTTATCGAAATTTATTTTTCTTATTTCATTTTTATTTGCTTCAGAATCAAAATGTCTTTTTAAAATGAAAAAAAAAAATGCATTAAGATGCGTTCTGAAGTTTATTTTTCTTATTTGCTTCGAAATCAAAATGTCTTTTTAAAATGCAAAAAAAAAAAAAAAAAAAAAAAAAAAAAAAAAAAAAAAAAAAAAAAAAAAAAAAAAAAAAAAAAAAAAAAAAAAAAAAAAAANAAAAAAAAAAAAAAAAAAAAAAAAAAAAAAAAAAAAAAAAAATTGCTTTACACTCTTATAGTCAAAATTAGCGTTTCCCAATTTTTTTTCGGCAATGAAACCCTAAATGATCAAATTTCTTTCATCGAAACCCCAATTTTCAAAAAAAAAAGTGCATAAACAATATCGTGCACGTATTCAACAATAATATAGTATTTTATTATAGTACATTAATACGAAGAAAAAAAAATTTTCGTCGTTTTAACATTAATAATCTTGAAATCGATTTTATGTCCTCAGCTATTTTCGCAGTCCTGGAGCTTTGTCTAGTCTAGACCTTAACTTGTTTTTGATGTATATGCATACACTGAAAACTAATAATGAACCGAATTATGGTTTTCTTTAAATTGAAAACTAAAAAGAACTGTTATAAACCTTATTAGGAAAGCATATTTCTTTACTTACAAATTTGATTTCATTTGAATAGCCTGGTGAGGAATAGGAATAAATTTTTCTTTTCAATGCATGTTTTTTTAAAATAATTTATTCAATATATTCTTACTAAAAAAATTATATATCTCTTTTTAAAAAAGTGATATTTCTAGTTTATTAGCAATTTAAATACTTTCATTAAGGCAATCGAAATAAAAAATAAATAATAGCTAATTTATTGATTAAATTTAAATATAACTAAAAGTTTCAAAATCGTTGCGGGTTAAATAAAAGTCCTAACTCTCGAAACCCCTTTAACTCTTCCACGGAACCCTAAAGTTCCACGGAACATCATTTGAAAGCCGCTAGTCTAAAGGATTGTTTCTTCATTGGACTATTTTTTCCTATTTATTTTACCATATTCAGTATTATTTATCAGTAAAAGTAGGCGGACATATTATTGAGTGTCATGGGGGAAATAGCGAAAAAAAACTATTTAGAATATCTTTCTGACATGCATTTATTA